TAATAAATCCATGTTTTTATGAATTTCATTGTATTCAGTGTATAAATTTGCAATTTTGTTTCCTTCACATCACAGGATCTATCAAGCATCTCATGGGTGAGTAAAAACAAGTACTCTTTTATAATAAAAGGACAAAATTATATTGAAGATACACAGTATTTCGATTAACTTCTCGACGAAAATTACGTATTAATGCTTTTAAAATTTATTAGGCTGTAAAATTAATTAGAAATAATTTCATTTAAAAACATTTTTGATGTCTTTATCCCATAATTACATTTTAGTTAAAATATGGATTCTGATGATTAAGTTGTTCAAAAGAACCGTAACCCGAAAAAAAGAAAGAGCATAACACAAGCTTCATTTTGTCCAACAAAAGTTTCGAAAAGCAAATATGTCTATGAAGTGAAAGACTTATTTTATGACAGACTGTGGGCAATATTTAATATGGACTCTTTATCACTTTTGTATATTGAATACTTTTTCTTTTCAAATATTATATTCGATACAGACTCTGACACTGCATAAGATAGTAGATTATTTAAAATTTTTCAATAAACCCTTTTCAATTTTGTGAGGTCATTTTCACAACAAATTTGTAGTGTCAGATTCTGTCTCGAATATAATATTTGAAAAGAAAAAGTATTCAATATATAAAAGTGATAAAGAGTCCATATTAAACATTGCCAACAGTCTGTCATAAAATAAGTATTTCACTTCATAGACATTATAATTTTCGAAACTTTTCGTGGTCAAAATGAAGCTCGTGTTATGCTCTTTCTTTTTACCTGGTTACGGTTCATTTGAACAGCTGTGAAAAAGAAACAAACAAAAAGTAACTATTTCAGATTGTCATATGTTCAGTTCTACTATGACTTAACATTTCGGGACGAACATTTTCTGTGGACATGGTATAAACATCATCTGTAATTTTGACGCAAATCAAATCTCAGAAGTCAATTTTATGGGAAAGTTATACTTAGAATAAAATCGTCCAAAAAATTTTGTCCAGTTTAGTATTATTTTTTTTTAAAATCAACTTACCAAGAGATAAATGACCAACTCTGATCAAATATATGTTGTGATGACGAAAAACATGCGGGCTGATGACAACACTAGCCGGCCAGAGCATCATCCTTCAATAATAAAAAATACTAATGCTGCTTGCCGCACTATTTGTAAGTGCACTGTATTGTGTTTTTGTTCATCACATGGTCGTAAATAGCGACCTATTGCTATCGAGTACGTTAATCTGGTTGCATTTTTCGCAATAGAATGATAGTGAATTTAAAACTATATGCTCATTGTACAAAGACAAAATATTGTCACTGATGTTTTTGAAAATAAAATTTTTTTCGGTGTGGTTTATTTAGTACGTAATTGAAAAAATACTATTCAATTCTCTAATGTAGTCAGTGGGGAGAGCTAAAACTATCTTTTAAAAAGTTGATAGTTCACAAAAAAACAGCCTTAAGTTAAAATGGTTATAATTCAGCCTATAACTATTAAGAATGTTGACTCAATTAACGTTTTGAATTTTTCACTAAATTTAATTAGGTTGATATAGTAATTAATTCGATTTAATTGACATGTTTTATAAAGGAATAAATTAATTTATAGATATTTCATTGTTCTTTCCTTTAAATAACATAGTATTTATAGATTATTCTTTCAGTAGTTTCTTCTATGTTTAGCTCTATGAACAAAGCGGGCAAAATACAATCACTTTATTGAACATACATTTATCCAACGTGCTCATCTTTGAATTAAAATTATGTATTTGAATGTTTCATAATAGAATAAATCGTTCGAATGTTGTAATAGTCATAACTTTCGGCAATAGTTTGTAGTCTTGAATCTTACTTAAAAATCGTTTGATTATAGTCACTAGCCAATAAGACTTTTAACATTATAATCATTTCGTCATTGGTTATATTGAAAATGATTAGCAAAAAAAATCAAAATTCCGTTCGTTTTTCTTATTAATTTAGATTATAATCGAAATTAATCAGCAAATATTGACATCAGCTGAGATTAATTAAAACTATTAGTCATATCCATGTCCTAAATAAAGTACAGACACAGTAGGCACCAGCGAACCATCGTTCCACTTTATCCTTCTGAAAAATGCAGAAAACATTTTTCTGTTTATGCCTAACTTGTAAGGCAACAATAGTTGCATGTTCTCGTCTCATCTTTGCCGATATAATATAACAAGGAACAATGAAAACATCAGAAAAATCGACGTACTGATAAAAGTAATGATAGACATAAAAGAATAACTTGATATAGTTATTTCAATTTTTTAAATAATATTCTCCGCTGCTCAAATTTCAAAACTTATAATCGGATCATAAAGTTAATCGAGTTAAAATGGTTGATAGTTATAACTCGATCAGTTTTAATTCTAACATTGTTTTATTAAATTGTATGCGTTGAGACTTTGTCAAAAGGTAACATAGTTCGAACCAATGACACATCGACAGCAAAATCGCTGATAGAACTTGTGACCATACAATGAATATACATAGGCACTTCGATATCACGACAATTAACATCTGTCAATCAGAAAGACATTTGAATGTTTGAAAAAAATTCACTAATCATTTCTATATTTTTGTTTTTTTTCTTAGATGAGGAGATAGAATTTGAACAGTGAAAAATAAACGACTATCCTATTTTATTCAACTTTGGTGAAGATATTTCATTCATTTCTGAAGCATGCTATATCTGTCGACAAAGTATAAAAGTAGATGGGTCTCATTGTAGATCCACCTTAGAAAAAAAAGTGTCTGGAATTTTTAACATAAATCATTTAGGAAAACAAAGACTATTGAACAAATGTTAATATGTTTTTCATTGAATAAAATTATATAGGATTGCATCACAGAAACTAAGTTAATATATTTATTAAATGAAGTAATTTATTTGAAATGAGGAATTCTAAAAGTATGACAAAAGTTTCTATGATTGGAACAATGATACAATAATCACGCTCAAATCTTTACAGATACTCTTTATAATATCAACAAATCTGCATATGCATAAAAAAACTGATTGATGATACAATAAATATTTCTTATACGATTGTTATCTAGCGTTGAACAGATATACCATTACAAAAGCTTGTGAATAACTATCAAAAAATCCACTCTTAGTTGTTTAATTGTATCTCATGTCAATTTTATTGCTCACAATATATTAATACATGTTGTTCGAATATTTTCTATGTTTATTTATTCAGTGTCATTCTATCGAGGTATTTATTTTTATCTTGTGTCGTGCACATGAAAAAAGTAATAATTTTGTCCAACTTTCAAATGAAAAAAGAGTTGTTTCTTTTTTCGATTCTGTTGATTGACTTAGAAAATAGGACTCTACTTAAAATTAAACTGCACACTTCACTCAGTTAATATCGAAACAAATATTACTAATAAATCAATAGTTACACATAATTCTTGTTCACAAATCTAAAATAAACATTCTTGCTCGTGAGTTTTAGTTTTAAGTGCAAAAAAAATTTCATTTTATATTTTGAACCATATTATGTTTCCCATATCCCGAAGGAAACAGAAGTGGACCAAACTCGACGGCACTGCAGTGTTGAGTTGATTCGTGGCACAGTTTCACTATTATTAAGTGGTCCTGACTATGTGTCAAAAATCCGTTCGAAAGAGCCTGACGTTTTTAGCCAGCGTCGGTTATCAAACCGACGAGAACAGATACTAAACTTTGACCTTAGCCTAGAAGACTACAAAGCGTTCGGATACATTCTCAAATCACATCTTCGGTTTTTTTTAACATTTCTACTTTCATATTCTTCATCTTGTTATCAAACAAGACAATGTTTAAGCTATGATGGCGACGAGCTAAACATAAATCAATTCTTTTCTTCAATTAATTTTCCAGATTCAAAATATTTGTTTTTCTTAGTTTACTATACCAAGATTTTTTCTCTAATGTTATTTTTATCACAAAGATTATTCGAAATGATATAATTGATCAACATAATCACAAGTTAATACTGAAATTAATGTCTTTATATATTTAAAATACATATTTTCTACATAAAAAGGAGAACTTTCACAATTAATTTTATTATTTCGCAACGTTCACTTCTATTAAAATTCTATAACATGAATTCATCGTTGTGCATGACTCATGTGTGTCAAAACAAATTTCTTTATCGAGAATCACAAAGAAAAGAGCTACCTTCTTATGTAATGTGATTTCTAGATTTAGAATAATCCGTTTTTCAATCTTTTTTATTTTGCTATCGATAGATCTGAAAAACAACCCATGTCTACTCGAACGCTATTGATACGCGTGACATCACACTTTGTACGAGTGACATCACGCGTACATCACGCGTATCGAGCGTAACAGCCGTTCGTGACGCGTGCGAAGCGTGACATTTTTCTCTTTTTTGTTATTGGTTTGTTTTCATGAACCATTAGAAAACAAAGAAAAGGACAGTGTATAAAGCGTTCATTCTTTTAAAACTATCTAATTAAATATATCGAAATAATTGTTCTAAATTAGTGCACTTAAGTGTTTCTAAAATCTTTATCGAATAAAATTTCGATGAAAATAATCTAATCTATGTGAAATTTTAGAAAAATAATACTGAATATTTTCTTGACAAATTTAAGAATTTCTAGATGCCGCTATAACTATCAGTTATTTCGCACTTTTTCAAGCGCAAACTATAGTTTACAAGATAAAGCGTTTCTCGCATTCAAGCAAAAAAAAAAGATATTTCGTCAACATAACATTTAATGAAAAATATTATGAGCGTCATTATGTTTTAGGTTCTTCATAATATGGTTGATTTGATTTCGTAAAATAATGAATATCGATTTTTTAATTTTTTTATGATTGTTTTTCTCATTTTCATCGTGCTTATTAATGTATGACTATACCAGAGACGTGGTGCACCTCTCTGGACTATACATCTTTTGAACATCATCTTTATTAGATTCTTTTCAAGGAATGTGTACATGAACAAAGCGGGTGGTAGTGGTTCTAAATTTAATTATGAAGATCAAATTGATCGACGCCGTAAGAAATTTTGTCAAATATATTTTTTATAGTTCAACATGGATTATTCTTTATAAGGCCGAGAACAACATCGTAAACACCAACTGAAATATCGTCGATCACGACGTAAATGTTGTAAGCCAATTACAAATGCCGTTTATATCTCAAGAAATATTGATAATATCACGTCCGACTCAGGTAAATATTAACTTAATTTCAAAACTAGTAATCTAATAACATAAGACAAGGAATTTTTTTAGAAGTTGAAAATATTGAAAATGAACATATAATATATAATAACAACGACTCTACAGACAACATAAATATTTCAAGTGAAGGTAAAAATATTTTTGACTTTCATAGTGAACACTGGATTTTAGTTCTAAGCAAGGAAAATTTTTTTTAAAATTTTTATTTACTTATGTAGAAGTAGATAAATATTTATCTACACATGTTATTCGATCATATGATGCTCATAATATGGATGAACTTCAATTAAGTGATGATGAACAATATTTTTCTAATGTTACTCGTGGAAATAGTGATTCTGAGGAGGAAATTGATAACAATGCTTTATCAATAGCGAATTTTATCCGGAAATCTAACCTTAATCATTCTGATACAACACACCTCCTTCAACTTCTTCGAACCATTCGTTTTGATGAAGAAATTCCGAGAACAGAAAATGATTTATGGAACAAATTAGGTGTTGAATTTAATTTTCAGTCTTTCGTCTTTTGCACTTCCTGTTCAGCCAAATTGGTTAAGTTTTCAGACTGGTGTAATTGTGCTGCATCATTTAAAAAAATTAATTCTGAACTCATTGTATTTTCTGTATCATCTGCATTGACAAATATTATTAAACAAAATATTGATTTAATAGACTGGTATCGGCAAGAAGATAATCAAATTGTACCTGATATTGTTAAAGGTTAGTGCTTTTTGTCTTCTGTTTCAATGAGTATATGATTATCATCTGCATGTCAAACTAAAAGTGTTAGTAAATACTATTGAGTTTTGGCTGAAAAAGGTTTGGCGACAGGAATATATATATAAGAGACTCATATAACAATGGATTCCATATGTTGGCTTTTAGCTTGAAAATATTTATTAACACTCTGTGATTAAATTTAAAAATCGATTACTTGTTAGAAGACAGATGTGCATAAATACAAAGAAATAGATTATTTTCTTTATTAATCACATGAGATGGTAATTTTTTTGCTAGGTTAATGCAATATTTTCTTACAGGTTCTGTTTTTAAGAAAAAACGAAGAAATAATTCAATTACCATATTGATTAGCACAGATGGTAAGCCTACTTTGAAAAGTAGTCAAAGTTCTATATGGCCGGTATGTTTATTTTTTCCGAACTATCTGTTTAGATGTCTTACCTTTGTTTAAGATTCTCGGTAGTATAGTTGAAATACCTCCACCTGTTCGTGAATTTCAAGATAATATTATGCTATTTGCCTTATGGCATTCGCCGAATGCACCTAATGCTAATGTTTTTATTACTGATGTTATTAATCAAATCGTTCAACTTCAAAAAAATGGTTTGTCTATTGATTTAGCAGCTAAAGGTACGTCGATTTTATGTAACATTGCCTCTGATTATTTTAATGTTTCATATAATGGATGTACATAGAATTCAATCGGTACAAAATAGATCGTCTATATGAATATCTATCTATGAAAGAAGTCTAACGAAATGATTTGTCAGACAAAGTAGAAGCTAGGACTTAAAGAAACAGATATAAATAAAAATAATTCAAAAGTTGTAGATTGGTGATTTAATAGAAAGAACAGGTCTTTGTTAAAATGTGAACCTTTGTTTAATTCGTCAAATCTTGTACTCTGAACATGTGTACAGTTTAAATTTTCATATGTACGGTAACGCGTGCATATGTTTTAACATTCCTAGTATTAACTGGTTTTAATTTCATAAGAAATCAACGTATAGTCGGATATCTTTAGAGATTTTCATTACTCTTCTCGCAGAAAAACATATTGATTGTTTTTTTAATTTTATTTTAAAGGTATTCGTATATTTGAAATTGATGTTCAATTATTGGTTGGTGATTTGCCAGCCAGGGCAAAACTTACTCGTCTTAATGGACACTCTGGATATTTTGCTTGTAGTAATTGTTTATATGAAGGTGTATCATGTCCATATCATAGACATACATTATATACTTGGTCTAATTTTTGTGCAGCTAAACCTAGTGTTCGTACACAAGAACACATTGACTGGTGTGCAATGCGAGGAGAAGTTTCAAATAAAAAAGTATATGGTGTTCATGAAGCATCACCATTATCACGTATTATGTCGATACCTATTCAATGTGTATATGATTATTTTCATCTGATTTTTGAAATACATTTGACTATGCTTGTCAAGAAATGGAAATTACGATTGACACAAGTTAATATAAATTATATTAATAAACTACTTAATGATGTTTCTTATCCTCATTCTTTCAACCGAAAACCGAAAAATTTTAATTTGTTTAATCAATGGAAAGCAAGCGAACTACGAACATTCTTTCTTTATCTCGCTTTACCGACGATTATTCGTGCTCAACCAGCTTTATCTGATAAAATAATTTACCATTTTTCTCTTTTATTCATTTATGTCAGAATATTACGTTATTTTGATGATCGTTATCAAATACATGATATGAAGATATTTATCGAAAAATATTTGCAAATGTTTTCAACCATATATGGTCAGTGTCATGAATTGTTATCAACTCATGTATTAATTCATCTTACGGAACAATGTACTCGTCATGGTGGTTTAAGTTATCACAGTATGTTTACATTTGAAAGTCAATTACACTATTTAAGAAAAATGGCACATGGAACAACTTCCCTTGCTCAACAAATTGCGTTCTGGTATACCATTGATAAAAAACTTAATACAAAAAAAAAATATTCTGTTGATTTATTAACAAAGCAAGAGCTTCGACGTGATATTTTCTTTGATAACAACATTCGTATTTTATATCAACAAGCATTTCAAAATGCATGTCATTTATTCTTCGGTTTACACATCGATCATGTAGTAGAATATATTTCTCGTTTTGGATCAGGTCTTAAAATGTATCATTCACTTGCTTATCTTCGTAAAAGAAGCACAGCTAGTCATCGAGTTTGTGTTCCCAATCCACGATGCACAAAAAAAATTTGCTTTGGTGAAATTATTTTCTTTTTTTCATACCGTCAGGAAAATTTTTTATTGTTAAAACAATATCGTTGTTCACTTCGTACTTTTTCGTCTTTTATATCATATGAAAACTGTTTAGAATCATGGTCAGATTATATCAATCGTTTTTATCATATTATTGAAAGTTCATCGTTCCATTTTGTTATCTTACCCTGTACTTCAATTGTTAATAAGTGTTTGTTTATTCCATTTAGTGATACAGATTTTGTGTGTACTGAAATTGAACATGAACTAGAACATGATTAAATTGAATAATCATTTTTATTTTTCATTCTAGATTAACATTCACATCATTGAATTTTTTCTATTTACTACTTCTAAATTATTATCTATTATAATTCTCTTTCATCATCTTAAATGTGTGCTAGTAATAATTATACACAAAAACAAAATGGTACATCACGAAAACAATACTTTGCATCTCAAGCAACAACTTATCGATCTCAATTAGAAAACGATGATACAGGTTTTGACGATAACTTTGATGATGATGAATGTAAGTATTTCTATCGTATTTCTCGATGTTTCACTTACTCTTGAAGAACACAGAGTTTAGACACTGAAAGGATCTTCTGCTAAAACTTAGTTGAACTATTTTGTTTTACGAAAAAGAGCGCCCCTTATGAAAGAACAAATGCAATGCTTTAAAAAATTAGCTACCATCTCCTTGAAATTAATGAATTTTGAAGCCAAAATTTTTGTTCAAATAAAACACAAATAAAATATTTTTCTGTTGGTTTTCGAAGTCAGCAAACAACAAATTTATAGAAAAAACCATCTAGATACGTTTGAATGAACTGAGATGAGCACGCATCAAACAGCTAATTGAACGGGTTATTAGAAAAGTTTTTAAAAGTTTTTGATTTTCATTCTTTTTGAAAGCGCTGAAATAGTTCCGATCGTCCTTCTTATTACCATAAATATGCGATAGTGCCAGCAGCTGAGGAATTGATATTGAATTTTAGGAACAATACTTTGACATACAGTAAATCTCATATAGTTAAAAGGATATATTTCTGACTAAATTTTTTTACAGACATACAATATTTCCTCGAATGTATCCATTATCTTGTGTCTATTTAGGTCGTTATCTTGGTCCAACTTTCACTCAACGTTCATCAAGACAATCAGAATATAATTATCCACGTCAACCAACAACAACTTCACGTTATGCTAATAGTAAGCCGTTCTATATCATTTACATCACATAGAATTGATTTATGCGTATAGGTCCAGTTCAATCACCTTCAGTGAAACGAAAGCACAAAGATATTTCTGTTGGAGAAGCATTGATTCTTGAAAAACTTGAAGAACTTACTGAACAATTAATAACGTTACGTGAAGATAACCGAGAACAATCGAAAAAATTATTCAAAAAACACGAAAAAACGCAAAAGGTCGTTTGTAAAGTTGCACAAGCACAAAATCTTGTAAGTTAAATAAAAGTTTCTTCGGTCCTTTCTTCACTCTTTTTGATAATTATTATATGAATTATAACTAGCAGTATTCAATTATCATGTCTTTTTTCTTTTTTTTCTTTTTGAACATTGAATTCAGTGAAAACTTGATGCTATATTGTGCAGATCACGTTTCGTTACAATACGTTCATTTGTTTTTACTTGGTTTAGAATTGATTAGTAATCTAGCAGAGAAGATTTTTTTGACGAATTTTTATAAATAACGTGGCATAAATGGCTATTTAAACAAAAGTTTTAAAATTGTCTAAAATAAATTTTTCAAGTTTAATTTGAACCAGCTTTTCTTTATTAAAAAGAAAGATAATTTCTATTAAATATCTAACCATGTCTTTTATAAAATAAAATTCTAGATTGTTCCAACAAATTCATCATCATCTGAACCATTAGAACCAGTTGTAAGTTTTTAATTCTTTCTCTTTACAATATATTTACAAATCTATTATAGATATTCAATGATCAAAATCTTCTTGATGATGTTGATACGGACCAAACGCCAACAGTTTTTTTATGTAAACTTGTTCGACGATTATATACAGTTCAAGAAATTGAAAATGGTGTAGCACATGATGAACGAATGTTAAAAATTAAACGTAAATAGATGTCTTCTTCCATATAAATTTTAATGTTTTTATTACATTTCAGAAGCTGTGAGAGCAGCTTATTATTCAAATGATTCCGTCAAATTTGCCATCTTCTGGAAAACACAAGGACATATATCTCTTCAAGGTCAAAAACGATCTCAAAATTATCGTACTCGACATCGAAATGATGAGTAAGCGATAACGTATTAGTTGGTGTATTAATGAATGAATTTTTTTGCTTTAGTGTAAATCTCAATCCAGCTCAATAATCACGTGAAAACCAACAGCACAAAAAAAAATACCAGTGGTCGTAAATATATTCTTTTATGAAATATGTAAAATATTTTGTTATTTCTTTTAAGTGTCGGATACCCATGTAAAAAAAATTGATATGAAAAATCAATTAAAATCATACTATTTTAATCGATTTTTATTCGATTTTGACTTCCCTAAAGCTGATTTTTTTTTACATGGATAATTCGTGTATTTATTTTTTTTGAAATGCATTTATTTTTTATTGTCATATACAATTATGAAATGCGTCTGATATTGAAATAAAGGTGTTAAATATCTGAATCTCGTAATGTGTTTTATATATAAAAGTAGTCTATGAATAAAAGCATATTTGTAGGATAAAAAATGAACCAATAAGAACACTTGTTACAAAGCGTACGTACGCTCCGTACGCGCCGTAGTACGCTATACACGTAACGCTCAGAACGCGTGATGGTATCATTGACGTAACACTCTGTACGCGTGACGTCACCTCTATGTTTGTCACGCGTACCAAGCGTTCGTGACGTCACGCGTACCAATAGCGTTCGAGTAGACATGGGAATATAGTTTTAATCATTAATTCGTTGTTTTTGCAGACTGGTATTCGAATAGAATTCACTTCATAATATAATAGTCTTTTTTAGTTTGATATATTTAAAACAGTAAAGTAACTTTTGAGAAATCCATGGCTAATTCATATGATCATTACATATTTGATCTTAGTTTTTTTCCAAAGTGAATTCAAAACACAAGCCGAAAATTTGCCTGTGAACATGAATATTACCCTAAGTCTGGTTTCGTCTACATATAAATCTGAGTATATGGATAGTTTCCATTCATATCTGTGATGAACTCTTCAAAATTTTTCGAAACATAACATACTCAAATATTTATTGAGAAAACAAAACTTTATTATTCTTGATATATACATGCAGATCTTATTCAACATAAGGAAAATATCTCTTGAATCTTTTCACTAGCTCAATTTGTTTACTTTCATGCTTTTCTGTAACAATCCAATTAATACAAACTTTTTTTTTGTGTTTGATTATTAAATATTGATACTATGAATATATTATA